ACTCGAACCCATACTCCCAGAAGCAACGCAACTGGTATGTACAAGACGCCTTAATCCACTTGACCATCACGACCGGACATAATGAGGTGATAGCCGAGGCTATTTGAACCACCCCACCGCCGGCACTCGGATAGTTATCTTGGGCATAGCATTTTACCAGTGCCGGCGGTGGGGTGGTTCAAATAGCCTCGGCTATCACCTCATTATGTCCGGTCGTGATGGTCAAGTGGATTAAGGCGTCTTGTACATACCAGTTGCGTTGCTTCTGGGAGTATGGGTTCGAGTCACTTCTGGGGTGTGAGTTTTCAGTTGCATATTGTCCAGGGGACCATTCTGGCTTGTTCGCATATATATATATATATATATATATATATATATAATATATATATATACTGTGTATATATATATATATATATACTGTGTATATATATATATATATATACTGTGTATATATATATATATATGTATATATATATGTATATATATATATATATATATATATATGTATTATATATATATACTGTGTATATATATATATATATATATATATATATATATATATATATATATATATATACACACACACACACACACACACACACACACACACACACACACACACACACACACACAGAAGGTGGCACCCCTAGGGTCAACACTTGCAGCAGAGGAGCTCCAGCATATTTCAACAATCCTAAGTATTGTAGTACAGGTTGATGGTAGTGAGTGGTGTCCCACAGAACATAAAGGTATAGTGCTCTTGAAAAATAGGTGAGATAACAGGAAAGTGCTAAGGGAAGTGAAGAATCGGATGAGAAAAAGTTGCCCTAGTGTTTACAGTGCAGAGAAGAACATTCAAGATGGCCACTGGCAAGGGGAAAAACAAAACAGAGCTTGATTTTGAGGGATTCAATGAAGAAAGCATTGATATTAGTAGTCTACATAACAAGTTGGTAAATTTAGATACTATAGTGAACTCTCATGTAGAAATAATTAGTAAATTGAAAGAAAGTAATGACCATTTGAATAGCAAAGTTTTATGTCTTGAGGGTTTAGTGAAAGACTTGCGCAAGGATAAGAATCAATTGGAAACAAATTGCAAAGCCATGGAAGAAGAAAATAAACTCTTAAAAATAGCTTTGGAAGAAGTTAAAGTAAATTTAAACATAAATGACTACAATAGGTTAGGCAAGGAAATTCAACAGGAGAAACAGCTTTTGTCAGCACAGATGGAGGAAGTTACACAGGGAATAGAACAGTGCAAGAAAGATATGCAACTCACTTATGCACAAGTGGCCAAGGAGAAGGAAAAAATAGAAGAAGCAGTAAAGGAAGTCAAACACTGCAGCAACCAAGATAAAACAAACATTAGGCTAGAAGTGAGGAAAGAATTGGCATCTAACCCGAAGTTGGTGCAAAACACAGTTGATCGGAGTAAGTCCCTGATCATTTTTGGCTGCAAAGAAAAGGCGATAACATCTAGGTCAGAAAGAGCTGTAGAAGAAGCTAAAGTAGTAGATAAAATTGTTGGCCTCGTGGAAGGTCTTACAAACAGAGAGAATGTGTGCGACTACAGGAGAATAGGCAGGTACGTAAAAGGGAAAGATCGACCTTTGAGGATCACCCTAAACGGTGCCAAACAGATGGAAGAAGTACTAAGGAATGCTAGAAAATTGCAAAGGGATGAGGATGGGAAAGGGTGGTCGTTAAGACGAGATCTTTCAAAAGAAGATAGAGAGAAGCTGAAACTGAACCTCGCCGAGGCAAAACATTTAAATGAGAGCAGGAATGAAGAAGAAATAAATTCTTTTTTCTACAAAGTGATAGGGGTAGGCAAACCAGTAAAGTGGTACATAAAGGCAAACCAACAAAATCAATAGAGAGAGGGGGAGTGAAGAATAAGGAGAGGGGGAACAAGTTCCTGAAGATTGCATACACCAACATAGATGGAGTGAGATCGAAGATACTGGAGTTAAGTGATGTAATACAGCTGCAGACACCAGACATTGTTGCACTCACGGAGACAAAACTTGAAGATGTAATTTTGAATGAGGTCATATTCCCAAGGGGCTACTCAATTTGGAGACGGGACAGAAAAATTAGGAAAGGCGGTGGCGTTGCTGTGCTGGTAAAAGAACACCTAAAGGTGAAGGAAATAATGACTGCCAATCCACAAGAAGTTGACATAATAGCACTAGAGATCTGCTATGAGGATGATAAACTAATGATGATAAATGCATATAGTCCACCGCCAAGCAGCACATGGTCAAAGGAGGAGCTAGATAGTAAACGTGAAGGTCTTATAACAATAATGAGAGAGATTATAGCGAGAGCGGATAACGATAGATCACGACTGTTGATAGTCGGTGACTTCAACTTGAAATCCATAGACTGGGAAGCATATGAAGCTAAAACAGAAGATTTTTGGACCTGTAAATTTGTAGACCTCATCCTGGAAACATTCTTGTATCAACATGTTAAACAAGCTACGAGGATGAGGGAAGGGGACGTTCCCTCCATGCTAGATTTGATATTTACCAGGAAGGAGGAAGAGATATTTGACATTCAGTACCTTCCTCCCTTGGGTAAAAGTGACCATGTCTTTTTGGGAATAAAGTATGCAATGCGTTATAAGCTGGAAGAAAATAAGGAGGTTGAAGCAGTTGAAAAACCAGACTTCAGGAGAGGACATTATGGTGACCTTAGAAATTTTTTAGTGAGTATAATTGGACAGACTTGATGCTAGGCAAGGAAGTGAATGAGATGTATGGCAAGTTTTGTGAAATATATGATAAAGGCACAAAAAAATTTATACCAAAACAGAGATGCAGGACCAGAAAACAGGATTGGTTCGACAGAAATTGTGAGAGGGCAAGAGACCAAAAGACACAAAAATGGAATCAGTATAGGAAGAGGCTAAACCCCAAACATACCAGCGATACAAAGATGCGAGAAACAATTATACAGCAGTAAGGAGAGAGGCAGAAAGAAATTTTGAAAAAGGGATAGCAGATAAATGTAAAACAGAACCGGGCCTATTCTACAAATTCATAAACAACAAATTGCAGGTAAAGGATAATATCCAGAGGTTGGAAATGGGAAACAGATTCACGGAAAATGAAAAGGAAATGTGTGAAACATTAAATGAAAAGTTCCAAAGTGTGTTTGTACAAAATGAAATCTTCAGAGAACCAGACACAATAAGAATTCCAGAGAACAACATAGAGCGGATAGAGGTGTCTAGAGATGAAGTGGAAAATATGCTAAAGGAGCTCGGGAGGAACAAAGCAGCTGGCCCAGATGGCGTTTCACCATGGGTTCTGAGAGAATGTGCATCTGAGCTCAGCATTCCACTTCACCTGATCTTTCAGGCATCCCTGTGTACAGGAATCGTAGCAGACGTGTGGAAACAGGCTAACATAGTTCCAATCTACAAAAGTGGCAGCAGGGAAGACCCCCTCAATTATAGACCTGTATCATTGACAAGTGTAATAGTGAAAGTATTGGAAAAGCTAATCAAAACTAAATGGGTAGAACACCTGGAGAGAAATGATATAATATCAGACAGACAGTATGGTTTTCGATCAGGAAGATCCTGTGTATCGAATTTACTCAGTTTCTATGATCGGGCCACAGAGATATTACAGGAAAGAGATGGCTGGGTTGACTGCATCTATCTGGACCTAAAAAAGGCTTTCGACAGAGTTCCACATAAGAGGTTGTTCTGGAAACTGGAAAATATTGGAGGGGTGACAGGTAAGCTTCTATCATGGATGAAAAATTTTCTGACTGATAGAAAAATGAGGGCAGTAATCAGAGGCAATGTATCGGAATGGAGAAATGTCACAAGTGGAGTACCACAGGGTTCAGTTCTTGCACCAGTGATGTTTATTGTGTACATAAATGATCTACCAGTTGGTATACAGAATTATATGAACATGTTTGCTGATGATGCTAAGATAATAGGAAGGATAAGAAATTTAGATGATTGTCATGCCCTTCAAGAAGACCTGGACAAAATAAGTATATGGAGCACCACTTGGCAAATGGAATTTAATGTTAATAAATGTCATGTTATGGAATGTGGAATAGGAGAACATAGACCCCACACAACCTATATATTATGTGAGAAATCTTTAAAGAATTCTGATAAAGAAAGAGATCTAGGAGTGGTTCTAGATAGAAAACTATCACCTGAGGACCACATTAAGAATATTGTGCAAGGAGCCTATGCAATGCTTTCTAACTTCAGAATTGCATTTAAATACATGGATGGCGATATACTAAAGAAGTTGTTCATGACTTTTGTTAGGCCAAAGCTAGAATATGCAGCTGTTGTGTGGTGCCCATATCTTAAGAAGCACATCAACAAACTGGAAAAGGTGCAAAGACATGCTACTAAGTGGCTCCCAGAACTGAAGGGCAAGAGCTACGAAGAGAGGTTAGAAGCATTAAATATGCCAAAACTAGAAGACAGAAGAAAAAGAGGTGATATGATCACTACGTACAAAATAGTAACAGGAATTGATAAAATCGACAGGGAAGACTTCCTGAGACCTGGAACTTCAAGAACAAGAGGCCATAGATTTAAACTAGCTAAACACAGATGCCGAAGAAATATAAGAAAATTCACCTTCGCAAATAGAGTGGTAGACGGTTGGAATAAGTTAAGTGAGAAGGTGGTGGAGGCCAAGACCGTCAGTAGTTTCAAAGCGTTATATGACAAAGAGTGCTGGGAAGACGGGACACCACGAGCGTAGCTCTCATCCTGTAACTACACTTAGGTAATTACACTTAGGTAATTACACACACACACACGAGTTCTTTTCTTGCAGTCTAACCTCTAAGTTCTTCGAACAATTGTACATTTCCAATGTACACATACTCTCATGTAATTTTTTTCTTATGTAGTGCACTGTCCTTTCCCAGACCCTTTGATCTGCCATTGTTGTTTGCCACCCCCGGCCCTCAGCAGGCATTGACTCGGCTTCTCTCCTCAGATTGAGCACTGCTACTACCACGGCACGGTCAAGGACTACTCTGGCGCCATCGCTGCCTTCAGGACCTGCAACGGTCTGGCTGGCATTATCCAGCTTGGCAATGAGACGCTCCTAGTGTCCCCCATGGCTGGTGGGGAGAAGCTGGTGAGTATGGCAAGATGGAATGGTGTACATATAAGGAAGAACAAAGAGAGATGGGGAGGGGAAGAGGGCATTACATGAGGAAGAAAAGAGGAACAACGAGAAGGGAGGGAACTGGGGACCTGGGAAAGTAGTCGGAAGAAACGGCTGGAGGAGTTGATTAAGCATGGGAATGGAGAGAGAGAAGGGAATATAAGAAGTGGCCAAGGAAGTAGGGAGACTGAAATATGAAGTAGGAAAAGTGAAACACGAGGGACGGTACTAGTGATAACTGGGAGAGGTTGAGACGGCCTGGAAGTAGAGAGAGGAGGTAAAGAGAGGAGGCAAGCTTGGGAGCGAGACGACGAAATCAGTTGGGCCAAACTAATTGTTTTTACATTTGTTCATATTGTGTTAATTAGGCATTGTATAACTAATTTGTGATGTTTATCTCCAGCAACCCCTCTTCCACACCTATCCTACCCAGCTCTTACACCCCACCCCTACCTCACTTACCCCACCCCTACCCTACCCTCACACCCCCACCCCTACCCTCACACCCCACCCCTACCCTAACACCCCACCCCTACCCTCACACCCCACCCCTACCCTCACACCCCACCCCTACCCTACTCACACCCCTACCCTACCCACACCCCTACCCTACTCTCACACCCCTACCCTACTCTCACACCCCTACCCTACTCTCACACCCCTACCCCTACCCTACTCTCACACCCCTACCCTACTCGCACACACCACCCCTATCCCTACTCACACCCCACCCCTATCCCACTCACACACCCACGCCCTACCCCACTCACACACCCCACGCCCTACCCCACACACACACCCCACGCCCTACCCCACTCACACACCCCACCCCACTCACACACCCCACGCCCTACCCCACTCACACACCCCACGCCCTACCCCACTCACACACCCCACCCCACTCACACACCCCACGCCCTACCCCACTCACACACCCCACGCCCTACCCCACTCACACACCCCACGCCCTACCCCACTCACACACCCCACGCCCTACCCCACTCACACACCCCACGCCCTACCCCACTCACACACCCCACGCCCTACCCCACTCACACACCCCACGCCCTACCCCACTCACACACCCCACGCCCTACCCCACTCTCACACCCCACGCCCTACCCCACTCTCACACCCCACGCCCTACCCCACTCACACACCCCACGCCCTACCCCACTCACACACCCCACCCCTACCCCACTAGTAGTGGGATTTATGCCTATGCCCGTCCATTTTTTTTATGACGGGCATAGGCGTAGGGGTGTTAACATATTTTTGCAGGGATAGTCATAGCAAATTTTTTAAATTCAGGGATGGCAGGACCTGCCATCCCTGAATGCATGTTGGTGCTGTGTTTCAAAGTTCTTTCGCTCCAGGTGCTCCAGTAGCTTTCTTCGCACAATCTTCTCCATCAGCTTGCATGGTATGCAGGTTAGGGACACTGGCCTGTAATTCAGTGCCTCCTGTCTATCCCCTTTCTTGTATATCAGGACTATGTTAGCTGCTTTCCAAATTTCTGGCAGTTCCCCTGTTGCCTGAGATTTGTTATACACTACACTATTACCTAAGTGTAATTACCTAAGTGTAGTTACAGGATGAGAGCTACGCTCGTGGTGTCCCGTCTTCCCAGCACTCATTGTCATATAACGCTTTGAAACTACTGACGGTCTTAGCCTCCACCACCTTTTCCCCTAACTTGTTCCAACCGTCTACCACTCTGTTTGCGAAAGTGAATTTTCTTATATTTCTTCGGCATCTGTGTTTAGCTAGTTTTGTGTGTGCGTGTGTGTGTGTGTGTGTGTGTGTGTGTGTGTGTGTGTGTGTGTGTGTGTGTGTGTGTGTGTGTGTGTATATATAAATATTATAATAATAATGAATAAGAAATGTGAGGCGTGTGAGCGTTACTCGTCCAACCCGTGTTCCAGTCCAAGCACCCGCACTTCGTCATCGAGTCCAAGAACCCGCATATCCGGCAGAAGTGCGGCTACCAGTCCGGGTACGAGTGGGGCACGTGGGACAACAGCTTCAGCCATGGCAGCCACGGTCGCAAAAAGAAGCAGACACGGCACCGCTTTACCCGTGATGTGCGCACCACTATCAAGTACATAGAGACTGCTCTTTTCCTCGACAAAAAATTTGTGAGTATTGCTTTTGTATGTTGTATATTACGCTGTGGTGTGTTGTGTGGTGAGCTGGGGTGTGTTACAAATACAAATATTTATTCTGGTAAAGTACATACATACAAGGCGAGATACAAAAGTTGATGGATTTATAGATAGAGCTAGTACATACAATGCCTAAAGCCACTATTACGCAAAGCGTTTCGGGCAGGAAAAACACCAAGACTAAAACTTAATACTAATTGAGGTTACAGTATAAATTGTATTGAGAAAAAATAAGAAAATGGAAAAAAGGGGGGGGGGAAACATGGCAGAAAAAAGCAAAAATACAATTTGGTCAACAAAACAGCATTGTTTAAAATAGAAGACATGGGTTGACATTTTGGGGTGAGGTAGGTTACATTGAGTTAATTAGGTAGTACTTAGTTTTTATCTTAAACTGGTTGGGAGAGGTACAGTCTTTAATATAATTGGGAAGGTCATTCCACATTCGAGGTCCCTTGATTTATAAAGCATTTCTAGTTTGACTAAGTCGTACTCTTGGAATATCAAAAAGGTATTTGTTTCTGGTGTGGTGCTCATGGTTTCTGCTACAACCTTCTAAGAATCTTTTAAGGTCAGGATTGACATTAGCTAAGCGTTTTATATATATATATATATATATATAATACACATGAGAGGATGTGCAATGACTTAATATCTAACATATTGAGAGATTTGAGTAGGGGTACCGAGTGATGTCTGGGGCCAGAGTTGGATATTGTCCTTACAGTAGCTTTGTGTTGAGTAATTAGAGGACATAAATGATTTTGGGTAGTAGAACCCCAAGCACAAATACCATAGTTGAGATAAGGATAGATGAGAGAGTAATAGTGTCTCACCAGGGCAGGGCGAGGTACATAATATCTGATCTTAGAAACAACGCCAACAGTTTTTGAAACTTTTTTTGATATATTGAGAATGTGTCCCTGGAAATTCAGCTAGTGGTCAATGAGAACGCCAAGGAATTTGCCATCTACTTTGTTACAAATTTGGGTATTGTTTATCCTGAGATTTATTTGATTTGAGGATTTAATGCCAAACAAAACATAGAAAGTTTTGTCAATGTTGAGGGTGAGTTTGTTGGCAGTTAGCCAAAGATGGACTTTATTTAGCTCAGTATTCACTGTGACATTTAAAGCAAGGGAGTCAGGACTGGAGTAAATGAAGGTTGTGTCGTCAGCAAATAGAATTGGTTTGAGGTGTTGGGAGGCATTTGGAAGGTCATTAATGTAGATGAGAAAGAGAAGAGGGCCAAGTATGCTGCCTTGAGGAACACCAATGTTAATGGGTAGGGTGGGAGAAATTGAATTATTCACAGAAACATACTGGAGCCTGTCAGTAAGGTAAGATTTGAGGTATTGCAGGGAGTGACCTCTGACTCCATAATGATGTAATTTAAGAAGAAGGTTTTGGTGGTAGACAGTGTCAAAAGCATTACACAGGTCGACAAATAACCCAATTGGGAACTCATTTTTGTCAAGAGCTGCATGTATCAAGTTTATCATACTAATAAGTGCATCGTTAGTACTTTTTTTGGGTCTGAATCCATATTGACAAGAGCTAAGTATATTGAGTTTGGCTAGATAAGAGTAAAGCTGCTTGTAGATTAGTTTTTCAAATGTTTTTAACAAGTTTGGCAGGATTGATATAGGTCTGTAGTTAACATCAGTGAGATCACCACATTTGTGGACAGGGGTTACTCTCGCTTTTTTTTAGAATATCTGGAAAGGTTTGGAGTTCAAGTTACTTGAAGAGCAATGCAATAGCAGGAGCTAAAGATCTGGAGGCATTTTTGTAAATTAAAGTTGGTATCTCCTCAAGGGCACTAGACTTGGTTTTAAGGGAAAGGATTATCTCATTAACGTCAGTGGAATTTGCAGGCGATACGTACAGAGACTGTGGATAGTTACCTGTAAGATAGTCCTGAACATCAGTAGTGGAAGACGGAATATCTTTTGCAAGGGATGACCCAATGGAAGAGAAGAACCTATTGAACTCAATAGCAGTATCAGAGGGTGTAAGCTGACCATCGTTATTAGACATGAGTATTGGTTTGTTATTTAAAATCTTCTTTGATCTCAATATTTGTGAAATTGTGCTCCATGTTTTCTTAATGTTGCCCTTTGTTTGGGTAACTTTATCTTTGTAGTATTTAGTTTTGGCTCTTCTAATTATTTTAGATAACAATGATGAGTAATTCTTTGAAAATTCTTTGGAGACGATTCCTAACCTATACTTCTTCTCAAGGTCATGTTTTTTATTAATGGATTTAAGTATTCCCTTTCTAAGCCAAGGATTGTTTAGCCTTTTAGTTGAGACTTGTTTCGTTAGCATAGGACAGTGGGTGTTATAAAGGCTGAGAGTTTTTTGAAGAAAAGATTGCACTGCTAGGTTGATGTCCCCCTATGTTACCTAATTCGGACTCCCAGTTGACATTAGCAGCAGCAGCTATAAAATTGCCTATAGCAGTTTCATTGTGCAGCCTAAAGCTTATCTCCCTTGTCTCTAGAGGTGGTTTGTTAATGTTAGGAGAAATGTGGGGTAATTGTCTCTAGTGCTTTCGATGATTATCCCTGAAGTGGAGAGGTTATGTTGGTCCAGATGTGATCCCGTGGCAGTACTATCAGTGATTCTAGAAGGTCTAGTGATTAAGGGTATGAGGAAGCAGGAATTCATACAGTTGAGAAAACTAGCAGCAGTAGGGTTTTCAGGCTTGCAGAGGTCAATATTAACGTCCCCTGCAATAATTAGATGGTTTTTGTTCAGTCTGTTATCTAGTATTAGATTTCTAAGGTTAGAGTTGAATTCAGACACATCAGTGTTAGGAATTCTATAGACTGCTCCCACAGTCAGGACAGACTCTGCACCCTTGACTCTGAAACTGGCGAAGATATACTCCCCACAGTAGTCTCTAGTTCTAATTACTTTTAAGCATGTCAGTTCTTTGTAGTAGTAAAGAGCAGTACCACCACCTCTCTGAATTGGTCGACAGTTGTTAATTGCCGAGTAGTTTGACATGTTAAAGAGTTGAGTAGTATCCTCTTTTAACCATGTTTCAGCAAGTATAATAAAAGAGAATTTGTTGTCAGTAGTTTCAATCAAGGCACTAACATCATCGAAGTGTTTGCTTAGAGTTCTTACATTCAAGTTATTTATAGAGATATTGTGATTGTGTTAATACATTGTTTACATCATGTGCTGTAGAATATCTGCAATTTTGATCATTAACCCTTCCACTGCTCAGGGGTCCTGAGGACATTTACACCCCTGTGCGCAAGAAAAAAAAAATCTAAAATTATTTCGTCTTCTTAAAATGTTAATGTGTTCCCTGAGCACAGAAAAAAAAAAAAAAAATTGTAGGCGACATATTTTGGGCGCAATTGACCGAGGAAGTCTGGCAAAAAGTGGGCGTTGACAGAGCGGTCGTCAGAGCCGGTCAGCGTCACCTGCGCTGACAGGTGGGAGTTGCCACAAAGATTTATTTTATTTATTTAATTATTTATTTATTTATTTATTTATTTATTTATTTATTTATTTTACATATATACAAGAAGGTACATTGGGATTGTGAGGATACATAGCATAGTAATAACATTCTTGTAATTCCACTAGTACGCGCAGCATTTCGGGCAGGTCCTTTATCTAAGAAACTTATAAGTAGGTAAATACTTGCAAAATTTATAAAAATGATAACAGTTACATATGCATGAAAAAAATAAAAGATGAGAGAAAAATTGTAGGTATATTAAAGTGCACAGGTAGCTCAGAATGATTGCAATGACAGCTTGAATGGTAGTTTAACAAAACTTAGCAGGCACAATACAGCATATGGCTAGCACATAAAAGAAGACAGTAATGAACACAATGATAAAGTTGTTTGGATTAAGTACATAAAGATTGGGTAACACTAGATACAGAGCAAATTTAAAGCTCAGTGTAGGAAACTACAAAGATGAAATTTAGGTACTTTTTGTTTCTTTTTAAATGAGGCAAAAGTTTGACAGCTTTTCAATTCACTAGGGAGTGAGTTCAATAGACTAGGTCCCTTAATTTGCATAGTGTTTACACAGATTTAGTTTGACCCTGGGGATATCAGAGAGATTTATTTCTGGTGTGGTGATAATGGGTCCTATTACATCTGTCCAGGGAGAGTTTCAGAGCATGGTTTGCATTTAAGAACAAGGTTTTGTAAATGTAGTTGACGCAAGAGAATGTGTGGAGTGATTTTATGTTTAGCATGTTTAGGGATTTAGCCCCCTTCCCTCTGTATGAGTGTTTTCTGAAAGCAGAGTTTACTATTGTTCTGATGGCAGATTTTTGCTGGGTGATGATGGGCTTGAGGTAGTTTACAGAGGTTGAAACCCATGCACAGATACCATAAGTATCAAACCATACTATACCATACCATAAGATACCATAATTCAAACTAGAAATGCTCTACAAATCAAGGGACCCAGAATGTGGAATGACCTTCCCAACCATGTTAAAGACTGTACCTCTCTCAACCAGTTTAAGATAAAAACGAAACTATACCTAATAAATTCTCTGTAACCTACCTTACCCCTCTATTGTCAACCCATGTCTGTTTTTTTTTTAAACGACGCTGTTTGTCGACCTAATTGTATTTGTGCTGCTTTTTCAGCCATGTTCCCCCCTTTTTATCTTTTTTTTTTTATTTGTTCTCAACTCATTTCAGTATTAGTTCAGTATTAGTAGTAGTTCAGTATTATTAGTAGTTGAGAATTATCAGAACCCTGGTCAGTTTTATCACAGTTAGGGGTCTTCTGTAATATCATCGCTACATAATAGCATGAACAAGTATATTATGGCATTTTAGGAGATGCTGTGGTCACAAGCTGAACAGCAGTGCTGTTAGCTCGTGCTGCGTGCATCAGGCTTGGTTGTTCACTCAATACTGAGGCCCCTAACACCCGGGAGTTTGGCCCACGATTTTTTAAAAAAATGGCGCCTGTTTACAAGAGCCCTGATGGTGTGGTGAACCCCATGTATTCCCGGGCCGTTTAAATCTTGCGTAGTACTCCAACACGTCATATGACGTGATGCGCACTTTAAGGGTTAAGCACTCTTGTTTTTTTTTTTCCAGAGTAAAGTAAATATTAAGTTTTTGTGTGTAAGCAAAGTTTTCAGGAATTATTATTTTATGTTTATCACTGAAAGTAAAGAATTTAATTATTTATGTTTATTCCTACAACTAGCACACTGTAAAGGATTTTTGCAGTTTTTATTTACTTTTTTTTTTAATGTGTGCAAGGTAAACAACAGCTGCCAGGTAGTTGCTGCCTTACCTACAACACATGACACCAATATGGGGTGCCTGTCTGGGAGCTCTTCAAATATCTGGCTGGAGGTTTTGATGTTGTAGAGGAGGTATTGTAGCATGATGGTGTTGAGCGTGAAAGGGAAGGGGCAACTCTCCACTGTTATGCAGGGGAATTACGTAACACCCTTTTTTAACTCAATTTATGCTTTGATCTCGAGTAGTATTAAGTTTTAGTTGAAGTGTTTTTTCCCATATCTTGCCCGAAATGCTGTGCATATTAGTGGCTTTAGGCATTGAATGTACTAGCTCTCTCTAGAAATTCTACATTATGTTTGTAACTCATCTTGAATGTATGTACTTCTACTGGAATAAAAATTTGATTTGATTTGTTGTGAGCTGTGGTGTGTTGTGTGGTGAGCTGTAGTGTGTAGCTGTTGTGAGCTTTGGTGTGTAACAGCACACCAAAGCTCACACAACACAGTGCACAGCTGTGTGTAGATGTGTTTAACTGTGGTGTGTAGTTGTGGTGAACTGTAGTGAGCTGTGGTGAACTATGATATGTAGCTATGTTGAGCTGTGATGCATTGCTATGGTGAGCTGTGATGTGTAGCTATAGTGAGCTGTTGTGTGGTGAACTGTGGTGTGTAGCTGTGTTGTGCTGTGGTGAGCTGTTGTGTGTAGCTGTGGTGTGTAGTTATAGTTAGCCAAGGTGTTTTTTTGTGGTGAGCTGTGCTGTGTAGCTATGGAGATCTGTAGTGTTGTGTGTTGAGCTGTGGCATGTAGCTATGGAGAGCTGTGGTGAGCTGTCATGTGTAGCTCTGAGTCATGTGATAAGCTCTGGTTTGTAGATGTGGTTAGCTGTGGTTTGTAGCTACAGTGAGCTGTGTGTTGTGTGATGAGGTGTTATTTGTTGTGTGATGAGCTGTTGTATATTGGGTGCTTGGTGAGCTGTTGTGTGGTAAGCTGTTGTGTGTTGTGTGGTGAGCTGTTGTGTGTTGTGTGGTAAGCTGTGGTGTGTTGTGTGGCGAGCTGTGGTATGTAGCAGTGGTGTGTAGCTGTGGTGTGTTGCTATGGCGAGTTGTGTGGTGATCTGTGTTGTGTTGTGTGGTGAGCTGGTGTGGAAGTTGTGCTGTATGGTGAGCTGTGGTGTGTTGCATGGTGAGCTGTAGTGTGTTGGTTGTGCTCTATGGCAACTTGAAAACATACATACGTTTTTCTAGGTATATTTTCACTAGCAAAATAGGTTGACATTTAGGAAGTAAGGAAGGTTACATAGAGTTGATTAAGTAGTACTGTACTTAGATTCTCTTTAAACTGATTGAAAGAGGGACAGTCTTTGATGTTATTGGGGAGGTTATTCCTTATTTTCCTGCACTCCACATGTAGGAGTGAAAACAGAAGATACTTTTTTACGCACAGGGTTATAAACTCCATGGAACTACCTACCTGCCAAAGCCATAAATGCCAAAACTCTGTTAAATTTTTCTTATTAATAAATAAAGATCAAGGCAGATGGGGGGACCTTCGACAAGCTGCTGGCTTTCTGTCCTCGTCGAGGCCACTAGTGTTAGTGGCTCTCGGGTAAATTTTAAGATCCAGCTGGAAAAAACATCAGGGCAATTAGGTGGGGGGAGGGGGGGCCTTTGACAAGCCGCTGGCTTCCTGTCCTCGTGAAGTCCACTAGTGTGTTAGTGCCCCTCGGGTAAATTTTAGGAACCTTGATTTGGATAGCATTTCTACTTCGGTTAAGTTGCACTCGTGGAATATAAAATAGACATTTGTTTTTAGTGTGATACCCATGGGTTCTGTTACAACCCTCTAGCAAGCATTTAAGTCAGGATTATAATAAAAAAAAATAATAATAATTTTTTGATTTACAAGAAGGTACTGGTCAATGGGTTTGAGATTTCATAAGATTGATAATTTTACATTCTTGGAAAGTCAGTAGCACGCATGGGGTTTCAAGCAGGTCCTTAATCTAACATATCAGGTAAGATGAAAAGGTACATTGTAGCAAAATTTTATATCAATATATAACTACAATATAAATTTACATAGATGATTACACTGGTGAAGATATATATCTTGAGTACGGTACTAATATTGGGGAAGTGGGTAGTAAGATACAGTGTGAGTTTGAAGTGCAAGGTAGGAAACTATGAGGATGAAATTACCGGTAAGTACTTTTTGGCTTTACTTCTGAATAAGGCAAAGGTTGGACAGTCTTTTAATTCATTAGGGAGGGAGTTCCATAGACTGTGTCCTTTTATTTGCATGGAGTGTTTGCACAGATTTAGTTTGACTCTGGGGATATCAAAAAAATATTTATTTCTAGTGTGGTTCTTATGGGTTCTATTGCACCGATCAAAGAAAAGTTTCAGATAAAAATTAGCATTTGGGAACAAGTTTTGTTCATGTAAATAGCACAGGAGAGTGTGTTGAGTGAGTGTATGTTTAGCATGTTAAGGTACTTAGAGGGGCTGTGTGTTGTCTGAAGACAATAGTTTGTTATAGTTCTGATAGTAGAAAATATTCTAATAATGTTCTCATGTCATTGATGTATATAACAAAAAAGGTTGGTCCCAAAATGGCCCCTGTGGTAATCCATCTTCCACATCTCTCCAGTTGGATTCATTCCCATTTAGCATGACTCTTTTTCTTTGTTTTAATCATTGTTTTACCCATTCTAGTATTCTTCCATTTTTTGTAAGTATTTGTCTTAATATTTAGCTACAATACTTAATGTTCCCCACAATTATTAGGTTTTGAACAGCTTCAACTTTTCAGGACTTAATTTTCTTTCCTGCATCTTAACTCGATCATTCTAAAACTAAACTACTTTCGTTCAACTTAACAGATGGAGGACAGGAACTATTCGAGAGTGAGAGCGCTCAACGACGCCCTTCAGATAGCCAATATTGCTGATCTGGTGAGTTCAGTCAGTTATAAGTGACAGTGAACCATTGTGAGTATTACGGAGTTATATTTGGCACGTTAGTGCTAGTTTGTTCAAACTTTTGGATGTTAGGTCAAGTCTAATAGCAGCAACAAGTTTATAGTAGCAAATTTAACAACATAGCAGCAAGTTTAAACAAATTACAAAATTCAATAATATCCCAGAATGGATGAAGCAGTTCAAGTGGGGATGAAGACTGAGGCTAAGACCCGAGAGATTACAGGTGCACCTACTGTAGCTTTCTCCATTATCGAAACATACCTTGTATTTTTTTAGAACGAAATATACTGTACATTATTTTCATTAAATAACTAAGTTATTTTTTATGTTTATAGTTTATTTATTTTATTTTATTTATATACAAGAAGGTACATTGGGGGTTAAAAGAGTACATAGTAATGATGATGATATTACATTCTTGTAAAGCCAGTAGCATGCATAGCGCTTCGGGCAAGTCCTTATTCTAACTGATAATTTTAAGTAGATAATTTCCAGTAAAATTGACAGTGTTTACAGGTACATGGTAAGAAAGTTTGACACAATAAACTAGATTAGATTAGTACACAATAATAACAATACACTATAATGACAAGGATTACTAGGTACATTAAGGTAAAATTTCAGGATTATCAATTGGTTCATTGTAGCACAAATTGAGGATCATTTCAAGGAATAATGCAGCTGAATATGCACTCAATATAACAACCATGATATCAGATGATATCAAAGATTACAATGTTTAAGTTATATAGCTTAGGTACATATATTGGTGATCTCACTGATGTCAACAACTTCAGACCTATATCAATTCTGCCAAATTTGTCAAATATTTGAAAAACTAATCTACAAGCAGCTTTACTCTTATCTAGGCAAACAAAATATACTGTACTTAGCTCTTGCTAATATGGCTTCAGACCCCAAAAAAGCACTAACGATGCACTTATTAGTACGATTAGCTTGATACATGCAGCTCTTGATAAAAATGAGTTCCCTGTTGGGTTATTTGTTGATCTACGTAAGGCTTTTGACACATTGTAATTACCAAAATCTCCTTCTTAAATTACATCATTATGGAGTCGGAGGTCACTCCCTCCAATATCTTCAGTCTTACCTTACTGACAGGCTCCAGTATCTTTCTGTGAATAATTTCATTTCTCCCACCCTACCCATCAACATTGGTGTTCCTCAGGGCAGCACACACTTGTCCCTCTCCTCTATCTCATATACATTAATGACCTTCCACATGTCTCTCAACACCTCAAACCAATTCTATTTGCTGATGACACAACCTTCATTTTCTCCAGTCCTGACCCTCTTCCTCTAAATGTCAGTGAATACTGAACTAAATAAAGTCCATCTTTGTTTAACTGCTAACAAACTCACCCTTAACATTGACAAAACTTTCTATATTTTGTATGGTAATAAACCCGCAAATCAAATTAATCTAAGAATAAACAATATTCAAATTAGTAATAGAGTAGATGGCAAATTCCCTGGTGTTCTCATCGATAACAAGCTGAATTTCCAGGGACACATTCTAAATATAGAGAAACCTCGAATGACGAGCGACTCCAGTTAAGAGCATTTCGAGTAACGAGCGAGCCACTCGCATAATTTTTTTTTCGATTGAGGAGCTTTCACTCGATTAACGAGCAAACTAAAAGTTGATTACTAGCGTTCCTGCTGGTTTTCAGACGCCTCCGACGACATTGTTGTTGTTTTGCAAGACAAGCATTTCACATGACGAGCACAATGCCAGAACAGATTAAATTCATTAATCGAGGCACAACTGTATATCAAAAAAAGTTTCTAAAACTGTTGGCATTCTTTCTAAGATCAGATATTATGTACCTCGCCCTGCCCAGGTGATGCTCTATTACTCTCTCATCTATCTTACCTCAATTATGGTATTTGTGCTTGGGGTTCTACTACACAAAATCATTTACGTCCTCTAACTACTCAACACAAAGCTGCTATTAGAACAATATCTAACTCTGGCCCCAGACAGCACTCGGTACCCTTACTCAAATCTTTGAATATGTTAGATATTAAGTCACTGCACATCCTTTCATGTGTACTCTATATATTTAAAACTCTGAACTGCAATGTCAACCCTGACCTTAAAAGTTTCCTAGAAGGTTGTAACAGAACCCATGGGCACCACACCAGAAACAAATACCTATTTGATATTCCAAGAGTGCGACTTAACCAAACTAGAAATGCTCTACAACTCAAGGGACCCAGAATGTGGAATGACCTCCCTAATCAAGTCAAAGGCTGTACCTCTTTCAACCAGTTTAAGAGTAGAACTAAGTACCCGCCAAACACCGAAACTACGACATTGGTACAACGTTCGAACAAGTTTTAACACTTCCTAACCAGTTATAGCAACCAATATAGCAAGTTGTGACAACGTTCTAATACGTCATAAACACGTTAAGATGTAACAACTTTATTACAAGTTGTAACAAGCGGAAAATAGACAGTTTCAGTTTGTGTTTCCAGGGTACTACCTAATTAACTCCATGTAACCTACCTTACCCCTTAACTGTCAACCCATGTCTTGCTATTCTAAACAATAATGTTTGTTGACCAACTTGTACAATTGCTGATTTTTGCTATGTTCCCCCGTATTTTTTTTTCAAACAATTTATATTTTACTCCCAATTACTATGAAGTTTTAGTCTAAGTGTTTTCCCCCGCACCTTGCCTGAAACGCTATGCATATTAGTGACTTTAGGTATTGTATGTACTAGCTCTATCTATAAATCCAACTGTATGTTTGTAACTCTGCATCTATATATGTACTTTTCCTAAATAAAATATTTATTATTATTATTATTGGGGGATTTGGTAGCATTAGATACAGTGCGAGTTAAAGCACTATGTAGGAAACTAAAGCACTAAAGTAGGAAACTATGAAGATGAAATTAGGTAATTTTGTTTTTGTTTTTGATTAAGGCAAAAGTTGGACAGCTTTTCAATTCATTAGGGAGTGAGTTCCATAGACTAGGTCCCTTTATTTGCATAGAGTGTTTACACAGATTAAGTTTAACATTAGGGATATAAAAGAAATATTTATGTCTGTTATGTCTGGTGTGGTGATTGTGTTCTATTACATCTGTCCAGGAAGAGTTTCAGCTTAAGAAAAGGGTTTTGTAAATGTAATTTACACAAGAGAATGTGTGGAGTGAATTTGTTTAGCATGTTTAGGGATTTAAACAGGGGAGCTGTGTTTTGTCTGAAAGCAGAGTTTGTTATTGTTCTGATAGCAGATTTTTGCTGGGTGATGATGGGCTTGAGGTAGTTTGTATTTATTTAGTTATTTACTTATTTAAATATACAGAAGGTACATTGGGTTTGTGAGGATACATAGCATGGTGTTAACATTCATGTAAAGCCACTAGTTCGCGCAGTGTTTCGGGCAGGTCCTTAACCACCGTGCTGCGTCGAGTTTATTGTGAAATTCCCCCGGTGCGCATGAAATAGTGTTCCCAAAAAATTATTTTTTCTAAGTAAAATGATAAATTCCCTTCCCTGAACATGTCTATGTAAAAATAAATACCAAATTCCACTTACTTTGGCTGTGGGGACGTGGACAAGGTGCGCTGTGACGTCATCAGGGCCTGGTCGCCCCTGGGTGAATCGTCTAGACACGGTCACGCGGGCCATTCAAGCACCGGGTGTTGCCACAAATATATTTTCAATTATTTGTTTTATGTATTTCCAATGCGGTTTTATTTGTTTTTTTATCGTATATGATGCACATTTGTGTCCTTTACAATATGTATACAGTAGAACGTTTATAATGTTCCCTGGAACTGTGATACATGTGTCAGTAATGTGTTCACAATAAATGTGTGTCGCAATATTACCCGTTAAAAATTCACTAAAATTACAATATGTACAGTTTCACACAGTATTTACACAGTAACACACTGTATTACACACTCAGTACTTCGGAAGAGAGTAATAATCAATGAAGTAGCCCATGGTACACAGCGTGACTTCGCTCTCAGTGCACCAGGTACAAAGAATTATACTGGTAGTGAGACTTGGGTGGCTTCAGGGATTGCCCCTTGCAGATCGGCGGCAGAGGCATTCGAGCCTGGTCCTCCTGCTGAAGCTTTTGGGCCACACCAGCGGGCCCCCGTCATCCCTTCTTTTCCGGTTGACTGCTTTTTTCTCCAAAGGCAGAGGGTTTGGAGGACGACTCGGCCCCAGGTCCTGATGTGGAGGATTCCGGGGCTGGGGAGGAGTTGACTTGGGGGGGGGGGGACCAGCGCCCCACTGGTCCCTGCTTGGGTGTTTGGTACCCTCAATGCGGGGCTTGTTGTTACAGGGGAAGGTGTTTTCCTTTCCCCCTCCCTATATGATTTTGTTACGAGTTCGACTCCTCTCCGGGTTCGGGTCCGAGTTCCCTTGGGTTCTTCATTTGTTCATTTGATTTGTTCATCAAATGAACGAATCCCTCCTAATGGAGGTTTTTGGCTTCCCGCATCTCACCGAGGAAGGTGTGAGAGGCTCCTTGTGGCTTACCTCCTGCGAGACCCGGATTACGCCTCGATAATGAAGCCTTCTTTTTGAGTTTGGCTCCTCTTTTTCTTTATTGGGCAAGTCATAAGGTGCCAGAGTCTTCCTGGCTGGCAGATTGCCTTTTCATCTTTGGGGGCTTGGCATTCGTCCTGTCGGAATGTGCACTTGATTGGCGAGATTTGCCTATGGTCGTACAGGTTTTCCTGGGGGGAGAGTTGGAACACCTCAGGGCGTGCTTGTTCGCTCCCGTCCTCCCTTATGATGTCGGATAGGTGAGGCTTCACGTGCAGATTCCCTCCCTTTCGGCATCCCGGGTGGCTGAGAATTTGTGTGCCCATGGGCACTTTGCTTCGGTCTTGCGCATCTTTTCCCTGCTGGAGCTGTCTTCAGACTGGCTCGTGCTGGATGTGGAGCAGCTGGGTTCCAGGCCAGGGTCC